CAATAAGTCAGTCGAGAATATGAAAATTGTTTCTCAATTGATCGTAATCCCAATTTAATTTAATCGAGAACGTGTACCATTAAAATAAGAAACAGAAATCGATTCATGTTTTAAATTTATAGTCGATATTATTTACCGAGCGAGATTAAACGTTGAAAGTGAAGTGCTGAGCTCGCCGTCGATCGATCGACTTCTCTTCTCCTGTTTTCTTCCCTTAAGCTCATTTGGAGCCATAAGTACAATACTTTTGAACAAGTTGCGCGATTACTTCGCGTTTGTTCCGAACGTTTAACGCACTATTTCGCGTGCCTTCTTATTCGTCGTCAGACGTTTGAGCGACGTGCAATTAACTTCCCCGAACACGCTCGACTCCGCTCGAAAGTAGATAGTGCCTTTTGATGTCAGACTTTGTACTGCGAGAACCATTTGAAATCTTTGAGACCGAAACGCTTGAACTGGAAAGGTGCTCTCTGTTGAAATCTGTATCTAACAACATCTGAACTCGATAATTATAATATCATTTGTAAAATAACGTTTGTTAAAAGATAGCTTGACAATATTTAACGTAGTTAAAAACCGAGTTCATGGTTGTTCCCTATGTTCACTTGATTGCTCGAGTAGAAAGGCTGAGCTATTGGGCAGACGCTTGAAATCCGTCCGGTGAATGTAAGTAGTCACGTCAGCCTTTGGTCAGACGTGGATCCTGCTCGAACGTAAGTAGTAGAGCCAGGCTCACGTCCGGCCGGCGCGACGCGGCGCCCAGTGCAGTGGCGGCAACCGGTTATCGTCTGGCATAGGTTCAAACATACTTTGTCCGCACTTTGATCATGCATATTGTAAGAGCATCACCGACGATATTTTCATGCCATATTGTCTCATGTTATTTTATCAACAATGTAGAAGTGAATACGAAGAATCATACAAGTGCAAACGAATTTTACATTCCCTTTGTGAAACAGAGTTCTATTATTCTGAAATAATGCGTCTATGGGAGTTGTATAGATTTCACCTGAATGGAATATTCGATTCTTAGACAATGGAAAGGATTAAAAAAAAAATTAAAATATACCGGAATCAATAGAGGTATTGTTTTTAATTTTGAAAAGCAACGCTCGCATCGTTCCAGCTGCTCTCTCGGGCTTGCTACTCGTGCAATCCTTCAACCAGTTTTATAAACACCAGTTTCCGGAAAGTTATGTAAATTACATTATTGACCCGGGAGACGGAAGTAGTCGCGTCGAGAAGTTCTCCGAGGCAAGTTTCTCTCGCGATATCGACGTAATCGGGTTCGAGGCACCGTGGAGGGGACGAGATGGGATACGCTATATCGGAAGATGCGCGAAGAAATCTGATCTATTCCGAGAAGGAAATCCTGGTATTCGTACGACGACTGACTTCTCGCGACTTTTTCGTTCGGCTACTCTCTTCCTCGAACGTTGTACCCTTTTTTTACGACCATGTAGTTTTCATAAATCGATTCCAATTCATGGCGACGTGTAGCCGTAAAGAAGGAATTTATTTTCTCTGGAAGCTCGCGTTAGAAGTAAATAGAAAATGTGCAAATATATACACCACGTGATCTCAGTTCTATAGTTCAATTAACCGTAACGATGAACGTACAGAATTTGATTTATGATCTATTCATCTCTTTAGTTCTCTCCATTTTTCATAATACTAAATAATATTGTCAAGTGACGTGACGATATATCTGGAGTACATGTTTCCTCTTATGTTGTAACTGGAGTAACTAACGATTTTCTCAATTATTCACTGAAACTATAAACATCCTTCTTCTCGGTTCTGTAACGCAACGCTACTCGTAACAAGTGGTGTGCATCATTTATAATCATGCCGCTGGTTCTCTGGCAGAATGGTACGTAGTACGTAGGTAGGTTATTTCGTGCACGCGTCGCGTTCCCGTTCCCATTCCTGAGATTTCTGACTTCTTGATTCGAAACAAACGACGGCCGGATAATTGAGCGCGCGTCTCTCCGCGAGAGAGATTCATCTGTTCTTCTTTTTTTTTGTTTGTTTCGTTGGAGGCGGAGCACTCGTGCCACGAAAACAGGCCGAATCGACTTTAATAGCGCAGGCAAGTCTGAGGCGAACTCGGTGGAACGTCATTTCGTAGCCACTTCTCCCGGTGAATGTTGCCCGGTTGCGTGCTTCTTTCAGCGTAACGATCCGAGACGGAAACGGAGCTGGATCTCTCTTCTTCGCGACGGGAATCTTCGTTTCACGGTGACACGGTTGAAAGACGCGGATTAAGGCTGTTTCATAATTCAGACTGGTCCGGTTACCCCGTTAATACTCGGGCAAATTGAAGGCGGATTAAAGTTTTCTTCACCAGCCAGAAGTAGTTGACGTTTTAATAAACGCGATTAAAAATAAAATTGCGAACCGTCGTCGGCGGGAAAAGGTAGGCCGAAGTGGCTGGTCTGACTAAACACGTACCGACAATGAATAGCGTTGTCCCGTTAGGCGGAAAGTAAAAAGTGACAGCAGAAGAGAACGTAACGCGATACAGGACTGCGAATAAGTTACAACTCTCGACTATGAAGGACGAGTTGTTCAACCGTCGCGAAACTCGCTCCGTCCCTTATCTTTTTTCTAACTCGCGGTGTTGAATTATATGTCCGGATCTGGTTTGAAATTGGACAGGGGGGCGAGTTGGAACGCGAATGGGAACGACACGTACAACGGCACCGGCACACGGAGTTATTATAAATTCTCTCGGCGGCGAAGAGTATTATGCTAGATAAGAGCATTAGGATGGACTAGCTGGTTCTCGGATAGAGTTATAAAGTTTAAACAACATCTGTAGTTTCAGAGATACAGAGGTGGGTGTGCTCTGGTTACCCGCTCGCTGTTCGCGCTTCGGGAAAGTCGGAATAACCAACTAAACTTATTGTTCATATAGCGTGCAAATATAAATATGATATGAACAAATTTACGAGTCGTGATAAATTCACGAATTCAGTCTGGCTCAATACCTCTTCAGTCGATGAATACAACTAAACAACCAGCCGATATCGAACGAGTACTCCCTACTGTTTTCACATTAACTCGCGTATCTGCTTGAACATGACTCTAGCAAGTTCAACGGGAAACCCTGCTGCGCTAGAGATGAGTTTACGGACGCCGCTTCACTGTTTACGATTTACCAAACGTTACCATGACGAGTGGGAAGTTGCACTGGGCGTAGGTGTATTATATAATGCAACGGGATAATTCCAATTTATGGTATCGCTGCATCCACCGCGCAACCAGACGACCTTGTTTCGCGGATATAGTTTTCGGGCACGGTTGAAGAATGGAGTCTCACTCCGGTTTAGCTAGAGCGCGCAACCCGAATTTTATCTCCTACTGCGTTTAGCTATTTGTGCCTACGGGAAAGCGAAGGCAACGCGGCGTGGGGTTGTTCTTCAAAAATTCATTGACAAATGCTCTGAATTGTTCAAATGCTCGCCGCTACCACCGACACCCTCGTTTCCTAGATATTTTTTCAAACGAATACGCCAGTAAATCAACCGCGTTCCAAAATTTATTCACACCGTTTCTACTGCATTGTACATATTAAATCAGTTGAATATTCAACATTTTTATATATTTGCCAACATAAGTACCACAGGCATACAATATAAAGTCATGTATTGTAATTATATATATTAACCCATTCGCTGCCAAGCCTAAATTATATGAAGTCATTCCTATTGCCATTTATATTTTGAGTGCTATTGTTTACCAAAACCCTGTTATTTCTTGGTAAGAGC